TTTTTTTTTTTTTTTTTTTTTTTTTTTTTTTTTTTTTTTTTTTTTTTTTTTTTTTTTTTTTTTTTTTTTTTTGCAAGGTGTGGGGGCTTTCCTGTTTTTTATGGATCCAAAGATGCCAAACTCTTTCCCTGCACAATTTTCGACGAGTTTCAGAGCAGTCTTCTGATGATATCTTCGCTGCGGCATCGTCGGTGGCAGCTTTGGAGTTAGTTGACCACGTTCAACGTATTGTGAATCATGAAGGGAATGGCTCTAAAGTTGTAAGCACAAATAAAATATAATAAGGTCCATTTTCTGTACCATCCACCTAATGTTATTTAACAATAATGTAAATTAAATACGTATTATTAATTTATTACCGTCATCTGATTCCATGAGGATTCAAAATTTGAAAATTTCAAACTCATGAGCTATGGTTATACATGTGTACCTTTCACCCCCTTTCAGACTGGCAGAAATGAAATCGGCTTCTGCGATTTCAGGGGTAAAGCTGAACCCTGTGTCTTCAACAGTTGAGAAGGAAAGGGAATCAAGAGTATTTTTGAAAAGCAGAGCAGACTCTGGTGTTCCGGGAGCAAAGAAGGAATTTCAAATGGATGGTCTTGAACCTGGTCCAGGATTTGATTTTTCAGGGGTCAAATCTGAGCCTACTACTAAAATATCAGAAGTGAAAAGGGATAAGGAGTCTATCCAATCAAACTCGACGTCTGTTTTGGGTGCGAAATCCGATTCTGGAGCGAAGGAAAAGGAACTTCCCAGACTGTACGGACCAGAAGCGCGGAAGGAAAAGGAACGTGTACATTCCGACTCTTCGGCTTTGGAAGGTAGAAAGGAGAAGGAGAAGGACTTCGTCAAATCCTATTCGGCCATCTTAGCAGTCAAAGCGGACTCTGGCATATCACAAGGGAAGAGGGAAAGGAATGCTATCAAGGCAGAGTCGGGCGTTTCAGATGTGAAGAAGTTGAGTCGTAGGAAGTCGGGAGCGGTGGAGGTGGGAGCCAGCTCATCACCGACGCTTCACGGTAGTCGATCGTCGTCATCGGAGGAAGAGACACAGCTGCGGCCGTCGGATCCTTCTGTGAAAAAGAAGGGTAAGCACCCCGAACCTAGGTCTACGAAGTACAATGCCACTGTAAACCCTTTGTTTCAAAAAAGCCATTCGGATAATTCCCAAGTCGATCGCAGAGAATTGGCACGCAGGATAGCTTCACTCTTGTACAATCACGGTGAGGAGACCCTCAGCAGTAGAGATATTTCACGTCGAAGGGCAACGGATTCTCAGGCAGCAGCAACCCGCTCTGTGGACGATGCACAGATGCGCAGGTTTGTTACAGGCCATAAAAATCCGCTTGGCTCCTCCTTGACACAGAAGGATGAAAATAACCAATACAAAAGTTTGCTGCTGTCGCAAATACCTAATCCCAATGCGCAGCAGCAGAAGCGTGGGACGACTTCTGTCCACGATGCTGCCGAGGGCTCGTCAAAGAGTCCTCGGGGGTCACTGATGAAAACTCAGCCGAGAACGACAGAAATTGTCGGTTCCGTCGCAGCTGCAGCGACTGCAGTCGACGGAACTAAATCCCTTGCCTCTTCTGGCCACAGTGCTGCAGGACATGACCTGCACAGAGATAACCGGCCTCCCAACGTCGACAATTCTTCAAACCGCCCATCTAGCATGGACTACTCTCCCGCTTCCAGCATCTCTGGGGCTTCTTCCCAAGCCCATCCTCCATCTCCCGATTTGAAGAAGCTTGGGTCATCTGATCCTCCACCTGCAGCTCCCAAGCTCGACGCTGTCAACATCGCAGCAAAGCTTGAGCAAAGTCAAAGTCAAAGGTCCAGCGGCTCGCGTATTGACGCACCTGGTCCTGCTATTGTCAAACATGAGTCTACAAGCATTGTGGGAACAAAGCAGAAGCAAAGCCAAAAACCTAGTAATGTCCAGAAGGAGGCAGACGCAGCTGCTGTACTTTCCAAGCTTCACACATCAAAGCACAGGCAGAGTCAACAGCAGTCCTCTAGTCCAAAAACAGAAGCTACGCGTGGCGTCAAAGAACAGGTTGCGATCCTTTCACAAATTTTGGAAGACCGTTCGGAGTTACGGAGAGAGAATGTTTCTGGCGCTGCAGTGAAGGGCACGCCTGCAGTTAAGTTTGCTGATCCTCATGTCAAATCTTCCAGCGCTGGTGCCGAGGACAAGGACGGCACCACAGCAAAGACGGAGCTAAGGCATGAAAAGAGTGTGTTAGGTGCACAGCAGGTTCTCCCTGCAGCAGCCGAAGGCGGTAAGACCCCTCCTTCACAAGTTTTGGCCAACGCTCCTGAGTCGGAGCCACCACCAGCTGCTGCTGCTACTGCCACTCTAGAGGAGGCTGAGCGTGCCAAGCAGCAAAGCCTGTCTGAAACCTCGAGCAGCGATGACAGCTCGCTTTTTGGCGGCTCGAGCGCAGCTGCTGCCTGTACCGAGCCCACAGGGACAGTCATCGCGAAACCTGCAGCGACTGGCCAAGATTCCAGCAGGCTTCTGCATGAACTACATCACCTAGAGGAGAGTTCTCAGGCGGGGCTCGACTCTGGCGGCGTGAGGCAGTCCAGCAACCACCTTCCTCCCAGTAACAGGCGCAAGGATGCTGATGTCAGACCCAGCGGCGAAAGTCGTCCTCCCGAGTGCTCCAGCGAGGGACGTCCCAGCCTTGGAGGGGAAATTCAGAAGCCTGACGCCGCTGACGGTGCGAAGCCCGTCCACAATAAGGGAACAGCTCGGGTGGACGAAAACCGGGAAAGAGGCACCAGCCATGTCTATTCTAGCTCCGGGAAGATGGATCTGACTATCATTGAAGTTGATGGCAGGGAGGAACTTCAAGGCCATGTGGCAAGTTCGCTCGTGAAACGTCAAATGCCCTCGGGCTGGAGCGAGGTTGCGATGGGAACCGAGAGCAATTATGGCCGTTCGTCACCCGAACGGCATTCTCCTACTTCTCCTACCATGTTGGGGATGAAGGGGGAACAGAGCAAGAGGGCATCTGTGAACATGCTTTCAGAAGGAGGTGATCGGCATGGTGGTGATACGTCGGCGATTGACCGTGACGAATCTGGACCAGCACTGCGTCACAAACTGGACGATCATGACCGTTCGGTTCCGACGATCAAGCATGAGGACCGATACATCGTTGTATCCGATGAGAAGTTGAGGGCGAACGAACACCACCATAAGAATGAGGAGAAAACCAAAGTGGCAATTGGGTCTAAGGACAGTGAGGCAAAGAAACAACAGTCCTCTCGGAAGGATTCAGGGCAAAGAACGCAAGTCCGTGGTAGTGGAAGCAAGGGCAAACCAGAAGTCAGCGGAAGACTGGAAGGCGATATGAGAAGGGAGGAGCAAAGCGGAGTTCATGAACCAGGTAATGGTAGTGCGGGGCCGGAAAAACAGCAAGTAGAGAGAGGAGAGGTGGAGGGAGAGGTGGAGGGAGAGGTGGAGAACAAGGTGCACAGACAAGCAGGCAATGATAGCATGCATGCGGAGAAGCACGGTGAAGCCCGAGAAGGAGAGACGGAAAAGGAAATGCACAAACAGAAGGAACCTGTGACAAATGAGGCAGACGGAGAAGCCGGGTCGGAAAAGAAGATGCATGAAGACACATGCCAGCAGCATAAAGGTGGTCTGATTGAAGCAGACTCTAATAAGACTGATAGGGGCATAGTAGATAACCTGCATACGAAGGGAAAGGAACATGATGACGAATTTCATGATGGAAGGAGAACCATGAAGACAGGAAGAACAGAAGCTATGGGGAAGACGATGGAAAAGACGGTGGAAGAGACATGCCCGTCCAGCACGTCATCCACTGCGGGGGAAGGGGAAAGGGATGTGAGGGATTGTCGTGTCGATCAAGAGGTCGAAAATGATGCCCTCATGCATATGGCTATAATTGACTCGGGCGACAAAATAGGCGGGCCATTGAAGGGAGGCAGTGAAGATGAGGGAGGTAGTGAAAATGTCTCTCTTCGCCTTCAAGTTGTCGAGTGTGTTTCATCCAAAAGTCCAGAGAGTACCGAGGCTGGTCATGGACAGGAAATCCAGCCCGTCCATGCGAGAGATCGGACGGCAAGCGTGAGTCAAGGGACAGGCGGTCCCACTTCAGATGCACCTGCTCTTGCGACAACTTCTTCATTGGGACACAAGAGCAGTTTTGATGGCGACGCAAAAGAAGGTCAACCAACGGTTACAGGTGTTAAGCCAGCAGGTGAACCTGGTCAAAAACCAATGGCTGAATCTGCCTCATTCGTGAGTCCGGGAGTGGTGAAAGGAAGCCAACCACAGATCAAAGGTGATCAGTCAGCACTTCAATCTGACCCACCAATGGTTAAATCAACCTCAGCCCCAAGTCCCGATCCATGGAAAGCAAGCCAAGCAGAGGTTAAACTGGCAGTTAAATCGGACCGACCGGTGGTAACATCTTCCCCAGCGCCGAGCCCTCGAGGACAGAAAGGAAGCCAAGCAGAGATTAAACTGGCAGTAAAATTGGACCGACCGGTGGTAAAATCTTCCCCAACGCCGAGTCCTCAAGGACAGAAAGGAAGCCAAGCAGAGATCAAACTGGCAGTAAGATCGGACCGACCGGTGGAAAGATCTTCCCCAGCGCTGAGTCCTCGAGGACAGAAAGGAAGCCAAGCAGAGATTGAACTGGCAGT